CCCAGCTGGCAGGGGGCCTGGGGGTCAGCCCAGGGTTACTCCAACCAAGCTCAATGTGCTGTGGAGGAGTTGGTGTCTACACACACGCTTGCACACAAAATCCAGAGCAGGAGTTTATTAGTTTCATGTGCCCCAATTGGGGCACAAATGTAGACACCGAGACGTTTACTGCATAGTTTAATTAGGCAACTGCACAGTAACTGTCTTGTGTAGACGCATCCAGTCTTGAGTACCTTTTTCAGTAGGTCCAGTAGGGACACTGTGTTGAAAATATTATGGGATAGAGTGATAATTCCATAATGCCTATGGTATATTCAGATAAATAAGTGATTTCCATTCCAATAGCAACTTAAAGATAACATTAGATATTTTTTGAATGACCAGGTTTGGACAACGTGACAAAAAGGCAGGCTGAGGTGTTCTCTAGAACAGTGATTTGTCAACCTTTTTTCATTTGTGGACCTTTGAAAAATTTCAAATGGAGGTGCAGACCCCTCTGAATTGTAACTGAGTATTCACATACTTCTGATTGATCAGTCATCTTTCATGAACCCCTTAGATGGAGTCTGTGGATGCCACGGGGTCCGCAGACCACAGATTGAAAACCACTGCTCTAAACTATTAATGTTCTAAAGCTAAAAGTTGCATGGACAAAATTTCAGAGCTATGCAAGAGAACTTTTTAACTGTTGGCACAGTATAAGAGTAAGAGTAAACGGGATGACCTAGGTAATATATGTACCAGCCTAATGTCAAAAACAGGCAGAAAAAAAATGAGCAGCTCACACTGGACTTGCATAAGATGTCAACAGGAATTTATAGGGTAGTTTTAATACCACAAACTAAGGTTTCCAGACAACATTTAACTTGTGTACAGACCACAGAATCATAGAAAAATAGGGTTGGAAGGGACCTCTGATGGTCATCTAGTCCAACCCATCTTTTATTAATAAACTGGAATGATATAAAATAACCATGGCACATATTATATGAATGCAAAAATAGTTAGGTGATATTGTTCAAGATCTAACCACAGCAAGAAAACACTAAGTGACTATATTTCACCTAGGGACATGCAATGACCTGCTCTTAATCCTACATTATTTTTTGTCAGTTACTTGCTGGAAAAGATTAATTACCAATTCTTAGCAAATGACAAATCTCGATTGGTTGGTAAACTAAACATATGTGTTTCAGCAGAGCCAAATGTAAGGCCCTACATTAGGAACAGAGAAACGTCCCTTACAGCAGTAGTTCTGAACCTTTACAGGGTCAAGGCATCCTAACACCACTTTTCTGAATATGGCAGCACCCTGACTGAGAATCACTGCTCTAGATGCATATCAGGTAGGAAGAGAGGTTATTACAGCCTCTGTATTTGGTACTGGAGAGACTGCTATTGTATACTGTGTCCAGCTGCAGAGTCCAGATTTTGAAGATGTTGAAAAATTGAATAAGGGTCAGGGAAGGCCAACAGAATGATTAAAGGATAGAAAGCCCTGCCATATCGTGAAAGATTTCAATCTACTATGGAACTCCTGATTTCTTCTCCCTATCAAATAGAAATTAAGGAGCGGTTAATCACTACCTATCAGTATCTATGCGAGTAGCAGAAATCTGTTAAGACAGCTTGTCAGTCTAGTAGACAAAGGAATAAAGAACAAATCTGTGAAAACAAAAATTATGCAAATTTGGACCAGAAGCAAGACACAAAATGATAATCATTGGACTTCCATACCAAGGTTTGCATTGTATTCTCCATCTCTGAAATTTTTAAAATGTAGACTGGCTGTTTATTGTAAAAGACAGATCAGCAGGGGGCCAAACTTTTTGGCAAGTATGCCACAAAATAACCCCACATCCTCCCAAAGTGCCACTCTGACCCTCTTCTCCCTGCTTGATCTGCTGTTCTGCTCCCTGCCTAATGTACTACTACTTGCCTTCTGCTTCCTTTCATGTGCTTCCTGCCTGATTTGCTGCTTTTTGCTGCCTGTATCTGCCACTGTGCCACCTGTCCCTTCCCCAGTCTGCCATGCACAGAGACCACTTGTGGTACCTGTGACACAGATTGGCCCTCTCTATTTCTAGATGTTAGACTTGAAGCAAAAATTAATATAGACAATTCCTTTGAAGGAGGTCAGCCTAGACAATCATGATGACCTTTTCTTGCCTTAGCACAAGATTATGCACAAGATTACATAAAAGCATTTTGCGACCAGTGTTGTGCTGCTGGACACAATGGCTAATAAGGTACCACAGGTTATGGAAGGAAAAATTATATGTGATCAGGGGCTCTAGAATGGACCTGGAACCCCAGAAGGACCTTCTGGAGGGGTGGATTGAGATGGGCCAACATGGTGATGCCTGAATCACCTGAGCAAGCAAACTGGAAGATCAAAAACAAGTATGATCCAATGGGGCTACTCTAATAACACAAATATATGCCAGTGCAGTGCAGTACAGAACAGAATATGGAGCACTGCTTGTTTGGCAACACCTTGGCAAGACCTGTACAAAGAAGGACCTTGTTGCAGCAATGGAAAGAGCCACTGCTTGTGCACAATTCTGGAAAAACAAGGTCAAATTAAGGCTTCATAGACAGCCTCAATACTGCTACTCCCTAACTTCTAAGTACTTGATGTTGCAAACGTAATATCCTTTTAGCTTAGTTTGGGTGTGTAATTGTCAGTCAGAGCCAACAGAATAACTACTTGCAATAACAGAATGTCATTCTCCGTGCTTATTTGCACTAGACAGAACAAGATACTTTGCCATTGGGTTCACTGTTATTTGCTAACAACAGAATTGTGAGATCTGAGAACCTAGATTCTGTTCCAGGCTTTTCAGGAGAGTATGCTCCAGCCCTGAAATCCTACTTCTCTGGTTTCCCCCAAAAGCCCAACACCTTTGACTCCATGTCCTCCAACCTGTCTTTATGCAGTCATCATTACTCTCCCTCATCCCAGCTCTTGGCTCCAGTCCCAGTTTCCCTCAGAGGACTACCCTTTTGAGACTCTGTCAACAACCTATTCCACATTCAGCTTGCTTCTTTCTCCTCATAAAGCTTATAGCTGTCCCAACTTCATCCTAGCTTACCTGCAGTCTCTTCACTGAACTTTAATTTTCCCATATCCCCCTCCCTTCCCAACTCCTTGTGTCCCCATGTCTTTACCCATATTGCCCTCATATTCTCATTGTACCTGGACCCCTCATCAGATCTGTATCCCTTTCTCTCTTGTCCCTGCTTCCTCCACACAGTAATTTTCAAACTTATTCTCCATCCTCAGCCAGTCTCAGTTTCTCCTGTCAACTGAAACTACATTTGTACCAAACTTATTCTTCTTTTTTCTGTACTCAATTCACACAGCTTTCTCCTCTGCCATAGCACAGGGAGCAACGAAGGGAGTAAAGAGTGCCTGCTTAGTTCCAGTGCCGCACCAGCCTTTCTGACCTCTGCAGTCCCAGGCTGAAACAAACTCAGTGTAGATGGGATCTTTGGAAAAAATAACTATGAAGCTCCAACAAATCTCCAAGCCTGTGCAGACATGCAAGGGCACATATCTCAGCCAAAACCAGCTAAACTTTCACAAAAGGTACAATTCTGAAACCATGGAGTATAAACAGAGATGACATCATTTCTCTTAAAAGGAAGCCTTTTGGTTCAGGAATCCTACACACTAGGCTCCTTTGTCCACTGTCCTGCTTTAAGTACCAGTGAAGTATATGAGACAGTGTGCTAATGCTTCTTCCTCCCCCTCCAAGACGATGCTGTATAGTTAACTGAGGCTCATTTAAGTTAGTCAGTCATTCCAGGGACACGTCGGTTAGAGCTGTGGACTCTCCCCAAATGCCTACTGGCAGAGGAGCAGCCATGCAGCCTGGAAGGGCAACATGTGTAAATGGCTGTGCCACTCCTTTTTTGATCAAGGTTAAAAACCCAGGACAACCAATCAATCAGAACTATCTCAAATGAGAAGTCCCTCCCCAGCCTTTCTGTTCTAAGGCACTGGAGGGTACTAGAAGTTGTTTTAAAACATGACAAGGCAACATGCTCTTCCCCAGCTTTGCTTTCTGAAACAGCAAAAATGTTAAAAGCAGGAATGAACCAAGCCTCAGTCAACACCTGGCATGTAAAGTTCCAGCCTAAACAGAAAAAGTGACAGTTACAAACAACTGAATACTTTCACACTGTGTCAGGGAAATCTACAGGTAATACTAGTAACTTTTTTCATTTTTCTAGAATGCTCCAACAACAAAAAAGCAAGAAAAAAAACTTGTAGAGACATCTGTACAGGAGTCAAATAAAAAAGCAAATGAAACAACCCTGGTGCAGTACAAAAATTATCTCTGTTTCCACTTCACAAGCACTTCAACAAAGAGGAGGACTGGACACAACTTCCAAGCACTGCATTGCGTTTTCGTTTCGTTTTGTTTTTTGGGGGGAGGGGCAGGAATAGGGGTGAGTTCTAGCGGGTTAAACACTCTTTTGCTTGGTCTCAGAAGAGTGGCATTTCTTCTCACCAGCACATCAGCCACAGCGCTGGCGACGCTGTGGCTGCAGGTGCACGGAGCAGGGAGCTGCGAGCTCGTTCCTGCTTCAGTGATGTCAGGAGCAGGCAGAGGACAAGAGCGAGCCCCGCCCAGGGCAGGCGCGGCGGCAGGTGGGGCACGCGGGTGCGCCGGCCGCCGGGGGACAGAGGCCAGCTGCAGCAGGTGGGGCGGGGCGGACAGCAGCAGCTCCAGCCAAGC